AGCCTGGCTGGCTTGATGAATTCTGAAAATTCTTTCCATGCAATAGTATAGAATAAATAAAACATCAGAGCTCTTTGCCCCAAACCGTCTTGGCATCTCTATTTAATTCCTTAAATAGACTTGGGTATAGCAATACATAGAGTATGCCATGTGATTTATTTTGTAATATCTGTGGTTGTACACAATCAGGAAGGAAGAGCAAAGCAATAAGCTGGAAGGATAATAGTTGGGTATAGCAATACATAGAGTATGCCATGTGATTTATTTTATAATATCTGTGGTTGTACACAATCAGGAAGGAAGAGCAAAGCAATAAGCTGGAAGGATAATAAGAAAATTGCAATCTTGCTTTGGTACTGGGGACATAGGAAAGGGATATAAATTTAGAGCTAACCCACTGGATATAAATAAAATACAACAAATATTTATTTATTGAATGTGAATAATTATGTTGTTGGGTACAGGAATTCTCGGATGTGAAAAACGAAGAATTTAGGGGGGATATCTTCTAGATGGACTGATCACTCGCTAACAACAGAACTGAAAGAAACATCAGGTGATCAACTGGCCCAGGTTTCTGCCTTTGGGCTTGTGTATTATTATTATTCTATTTTACAGATGGGGCAATGGAAACGAAGAGTACTTGTGGCCTGCTTAGATACACTGCTTCTAAATTGTGGAAAAGAGTCAAACTCCTATTTTTTACTATAGATCTCTATTGAGACCTCCTTTTCATCCTACTCCAAACCTGATTTGGTTATATTTAAGAGACTTCATGTATTTACATTTATTTATATTTCTTTATATTTAGAGGCTACATATATTTAAGAGGACTTGGCCAATAAAAATCCTATTTGTAATCAAAATGCCTGAATTTACTTTTTAAGAAAATTTAAAACACACTTTGGCAATAAAGGCAACAGAAATCTTCATTTCATAATATATTAAGGGGAAATGTATCCAAATGTAAACTGAGTGACAGCTAAAAGCAGAAGACCAAACTCCAATTCTGATTAATAATGGCTTTCCAAATTGACAAAAGGATGCCTAGAGACAAGTAATGTTCCCAGTGTTATCAGTGATAGATGACATTTAAAGTTGGGAGTATGCAATCCTTACCCTCAAATAACTTGTTGGTTAAACGATAAGACTAACAAAAAAGAAAACCATACATATAGAATACATATAAACTACATTAAAACAGGTATAAAATAGAGAGGTACACTGAGTGTTTAATTTTCCGAGTTAATCATGGAAATGTGCTTGGAGATCTTGGATACTGAAATTAATATTAGAGGTTGGTGGCCATAGCATGGCTCAGAAAATAGTCAGACAGATTAAGGTTACACAAAGAGGAGTGGCTTCAAATTCCATGGGCCAAGGAGCAACTTCCCCATAGTAGTCAGCACAGTTTAATACAGTAATCCTTAACAGTGAGAGACTCTGGCAAGCAGATTGGTAATTCAGTCTCAGATGATTCTGGGAATATCTCAGGAAGATTAGTGAGGGAAATGAGAAACTAACAATGCCAAGGAAAATGATAAAAAAACAAAGATCAGTTCTGGGATTCATTTCTCTATATCTTTTCAATGATATTTCCTTTTGCCATATTTACTTACAGGCTGAAGATATGATAGGACATAGAAGACAATCAAGTTATCAAGGAAATAAAGAAAGGCAGGAATGGACCACTTCATGAAATCAGAGAATTCCTTCCAGGAAGCACATTTCAGATTTCTATTTTGATGATCTTTAAAGAAAGAAATACAGCAACAAATAAATGATCTTGATAAGAATACCCATATTTTTAGAGAAATCACATTGCATTTGATTACTGATACAATTCTTTAAAGGGGGCTTTATAACTGTTTCCATAAGTGACGATTAGCCTAAAGAAATCAAAGATAATGTGGAATTTCATTACTGTCTCTCTTTAACCCACCACTGTGTCTTATCACTGAAAACCAGCAATACCCTTAAAAATACTGATTATTTTAATTCCTGTTAACTTGAGATAGTAAAAGTATCACTTGAGTCATATCACTTAAGGCAACCCAGGATACACATGGCGTTTCTCTTACTACCCTGACAGCATAAAGCCAATAGGGAATAAATAGGAAAAAATATTAAGCCATCATGATGAGATTTTCCCCCCAGAGCAGATCAAGAGAGATATACTAAGTGGAAATTTATATATATGAAACTAGAGAAGATTAACTTCTACTAATCCTAGTGAGAGTTTTTATCCCATCACCACATTTCCAAAAACTTAGGAAGAGAGAGAGAGAATGTAAAAATAGAAAACAAAAGCGGTTTAAACTTAAGCCCTGCAAATAATATATGAGTTTTATGAGATTAAGACACATATTCCACTAACTAGAAACTGCACAGATTGAAAGCCTTGAGTATGAAAAGGTATCTTCCTGGGCAAGCACTTTAATGCTCTAAATTCTATGTTTACCTCATGTGGGAAGGCAGATCAAAGAGGGAGAGAGAGCTAAGGTTCAATAATTGGGAAATTAAGGCAAAGAATTAATATATACTAATAGCCTACACATTCTGCAAAAAACCTAGATACTTTAGTATCTGTATTTGATAGTTGAGGAAACTGGAGCTCTGAGAATTTAAAATAATCTGTCCCAGAACATAGTCTCTTTGAGTTCTACTACTCTTGCTGTCCAGTGCACTACCCTATCCTCTCTGTAGGAAATGCGAACTGTTATTACAATACAATACATATCAAGTCAGACAGCACAGTCATCTAGAAAATCCTGAATTTGAATAAAACTTTTTGTGTGAAAACATCAAAGGAACAAGTCACAGGGTAGAGTAATGGAAAGGACATTGGAAAACCTGGGTTGGTGTTCTAGATCTACCCCTTCCTACCCAGCTCTGCATACACTCTCTGAGCCTGTTTTTCCACATATAAAACATACTTAACATTTGTATCTTAGCTTCCTCATACATAAAATTAATGGACTAGACCAAATGATATAAAATGTTCCTTCCAGTTAATTTTGCAATTTTTAAACAAGTATATAGTACCATTTCAAAACTCACCTTTCTTTACAACACAGAATGACACAAGCACACAGAAAATTAGCTTCAGCAGTTCTGAGCACACATTCACAGTAGTTGGAAGATAATCATACTTGTTCTCTGAAATGTAATGGAAATTTTTTAACTACAAATTTTATTCTATATATGTTTACATACAGTTAATAACATAATCGTTAAACTTAAAAGCTGAATTTAATACTGGTTATACTAAATTTTTTCCAGCTGGCTTTGGTCTTTTGAATTTTTGAATCAATTCATTTAATGTATTAGCTCTCCCTATCCCATTCAGCTTTTAATTATCATTGAATTTGATAAACATGTGTCTCATCCAAGTTGCTAATAAATATTTTGAGAAGGCTAGGGCCAAGGGCAAAGAAAGCTCTGTGGCATGGCATTAGAGACTGCCTTTTAAATTGCCCATTAATAAACAATCAAGATCTGACTCATCAAACAGTTATGAATTTACCCAGCTCATGGTTCTTTTTGTGTAACTTGTTTGCCTTGCTCAAATCAAGGTACAGTCTATGACGTTCCCTTAACCCAAGAGTTTTCCAAACTGTTTCATATTATGGTATACACAGAAAACATTAATATTCATTTGGCACTCTGGGATACAGGGTACATTGGGGCAAAAGAAGGAAGTGACCTGAGGCAAGAGGTGACTTGCCTATGACTCTACTACCTCTAGGGCTGAGAGGAAATACTCTGAACACATCCAAACCCACTGATGATTGTGAAGCTGTGTCTTAACTTACAAGTCAACCCAATTAGAAAATGAGGTTTGGTTTGCATGCCTTGATCTTAACTGTTACCCCTGTCATTTCCAAATGCTTACAAACAACTTGCTTTATAATTTTGCCAAAGACAAACATAAACTTTATTAAGTATTATTTTCAGGAATGCATTTCCCTGCCTTTTGAAAACATATGCTTGTTTCTCTTGGTTATGTTAAAGCCCAAAGTGAACAAGATGGGGGAGAAAGCCAACTTGACATTCCATCTAGAAAACCTTTTCTTCTTTTCTGTGGTTACACCTGACCTTCTAAACGTAAGCAGGATCATTTGCTCTGTTCCTGTAAATCCCTATAACAGCACTTGTCACATTGTATTATAATTACCTTTTATGTGTATGTCTTAACCTTACAATTTAAGCTTCATATGCCAGGCACTTAGTGTCCCACACTTACTAGGCACTTGATAAATGTTCACTTGAATTTAAATATTTGCTTGTTCAACTTTCCTCATCATTCAAAGCCTAGTTAAAAACTCACCTTCCTTTTCTGAGCTAGCTAGACTTAAATCATACTGTTATCCTCCAATGATACTTTTCATGATCTCTATCACAATACATGCAGAAGTCAACATGTGCACACAGAATGGAGGGGCTTCAGATTACAACTTTCAAACCCTTGTTGTCTTGTAGTTCTTGCTTTTCTTTCTTGTATTCCTCTCATGGCTGATCCAAACCATGTGCCAACATGATGTGTGACTTCCCTCCACTCATCTCCTACCCACACCACATACCTTATCTGCAGTGCATCCATCCTGACTGGTTTCCTTTCAGTCCTAGAAAAAGGGGCCATGGCCCTACTATTTACCCATTCTTCCCTTTAGAACTGTCCCTTCTCAGAGACTAGGTGCCAATAGGTACTTCCTTTGGCTTCAGTATATCTCCTTTATCTTCCTCTCAACTAGCTTCCTGCCCTTGGCCTACAAAAATGCTCAAAACACTTCCATCTGAAAATCAAAATATAAGATACTACCCCCTTTAGCTACCATACCTTCTCCTTCTCTCCCTAACAAAGTATCAGCATCCATTATCACCACTTTACCCACTTTCCAGTCAGGTCTTATCCCCAAGCAATCTGGTTTCTGATTCCACCACTTTACTCAAACTACCTACTCTCTGAGAGTATCAAACGCCTTCTAATTACTAATTCTAAAGGGCATGTTTTAATCCTTATCTTTTCATTATGCCACAATTCTATCTCAATCTTTGAACTCTCCCCTTCCTTTCTATGAGTCATGTGTATTAGTTCTCTCATCTCTTTAATGATTTCTTCCTAATGTTCTTCTGAGTGTCAGCATGCTACTTAAATGTTGGCATTCCTTGGCTCTTATTTCTCATTCTGTATGAACCCTCTGCTCCTAAGGTTTTAATTATCAGTTTAATATTAATGACTCCAAATCTATATTCTGGAACATTTAACTTACAGCCCACTAAACATATCTACATGATTCATTACCTCCTATTTGTTCATTTAACTGACATTTCCTTCATGTGCATGATGTGCCAGACACTGCAGGAAATTGCAGTGAATGAGGACATAGCTCCTGGCCTTATAGAAGCTACATAGCTAAAACTGTAATCTCTCTGAACTCTGCCCAACCTGTTCTTCCTCCTGATGGTTCCCATCTCAGCTGAGAACATCATCAACCCACTCAGCACTCAAACCCGAAACCTTTGACCTATCCAATATTTTATATCTTTCAACCTCCACATTCAATACATTCTCCAAATCCTGTCTTTTCTACATTCTAAATATTTCTTGAATCTATCCTTTTAATTCTTACTTCCAAAGCCCTAAGTTAGTCTTCACCGTCTATGGCTTGAATTTGCAATAACCACCTAACTGGCTACCCTGCTTCTAGTCTTTTTTCACTAACCATCCAGCTACCATAATAGTCTCCCATTTTACCCTCCTATTTATAATCCTTCAAACTCTAGGCCTAAAGAAAAAAATCCCAGTTCCTTAGCATGGCATATAAAGTCCTTAATCTGACAATTACTTCCTTCTCCAGGCAAGTACTCCTTTCCTCTCTCCTCTAAACTTTTTGCTCAGTAATTCTGAGCTACATGATCTCACAACATACCCTGCTTTTTTAATGTCTCTGTTCCTTTTTACAGGTTGTTGGCTCTGCTTTGAATACCCCTGCCCATCAGGGCAGTGTTGCGATTCCTTTGTGCTCCACATCATCCTCTCCCAGACAGAATATATCACTTTCTCTTCTATATTATCTCTGCATCTTTGACATATTTCTTTATTATAATATATTTTCATGACACGTTTACATGTATGCCTCTCCTAGCAAACTGTGAGTTCTTGAGGATGAGGTCTATGTCTTAAAAACTTTGAACCCTGCTACTAACACTTAGCCTAGTGCTGGCAGATAAATGTTAACTTAGGTAGAGATTTATTTACACATCTGACTCCCCAAGCAGACCATTAAGTGTCATGTTGTCATGATTTTATCTGACCTCAGTAACTAGTGAGATGTACTCAACACAGTTTTGCAGAATTAAAGTGTTTGCTCAAATCCTTATATTAAAAAAATAATAATAAGAGATTCCTTGAATACATACAAGTACTTATCAAAGCTTACACTCTGCAATGTCCCATTGATACAATAATTATGACAGTACCTCACAAATGCCAAGTGACCAAACAAATATATCCTCCTGCCTATTTCAAAATAAGCTGTAATTATACATTTTGCTATAGGTCCAGAAACACCTGTTGATTGATGCTACAGTCAGACGTTACGATATGTTCTGCACCAAAGAGTTTGATTCTGTACTTGATTGACCTAAATCACATCAAAAACTTTTCTTGCTGAGAAATGAAAGGGTAAAAAATAAAATTTAAACAGGCTTTATCACACACATGAAGCAAAGAACTTGATAAGGTATTATCCCCATTTTAAACACAAGGAAATCAAAGACAGGAGAGAATGTGTAATTAGATGGAAATACTTCATACATATTTCAAGTCTTAACTTACCTTCATTGGCAGAATATTTTACCAGTAAGATGCGACTTGAGCTTAAAGTAATGAATATGGCACCTAGCAGGAATGTATACATTGCTGACAATGAGCATAACACAGGATGACTACAACTCTTTCTTTCCATTCCACTGTTTTTTAATTGCCTTAAAGAGAAGAACACTTTTATGAGCAATCTTGTTCACAGACTTAAAGTTTAAGTATAATGCAAATACCATGGATTGTGAAGAACACAAAAGGAATTTTTTAGAAGTTTGGCTATGACTATATCAGAACCAAGGAAGTTGAGGAGGACAGAAGAAACCATAGGGGAAGAAAATGAAAAAGTCAAAATGAAATAGGAAGGGGTACTCTTGAGACAGAAAAGGCAGGACCAGATTAGAAGTGCTTACAAAGGTATCAAGTGAGAAACTTAACTGACACCGTGGGACTGCAGAAAAGCAATTCTGTAGCTTTCATTCTTAATAGCAACTTTGCTGTAGAAGAGAATTTGGGAATTGTATTTTTTCCTCAGTAGCAGCTCTTCCCTAAGGGGAAGAATAAGAGCTTGCTGGGAAATATTTATAAAAATGAACAAAATGAGAACATGTAAAATACTGCTGTTAAATCTTCTGAACCAGGCATTCTTTTGACAGGTTGAGAACATTAAACCCCAGGCGGGTAAGTAATGCACCCAAAGTCTCCCAGTGTACCGGTAGGTATGGTGCAAAGGCTCTGGCGACTGGTATGTCAATACAGACAGCTCAACTGGGGGCAAGGAGACCAATGAGTCACCAGCCAGGCACCAGAAGGCCAGGTTTCCCTCCACAATCAGGGAACGCCTTCTCGTCACACATGCGCAGTAGAGATCTCGTCTGGCGCGCCCTCCCCTCATACGCACGCGCAATTCTTTGCTTGCAGGCGCGGTTACCTCGCTCCGTCAGAAGAGCTTCCAGTGGAACAACGCACATCCTGGAGCTGAGACAGTAACTCTCTCTTTAGCAGCAGCAGTAGCTTTTAGGGTCCATAGGCAGGAAAGCTATGGGAGGAAAAGAAAGGCGAGAAAGCCTATCCACCCAAGTTTACTATTGCGGAACAAAAAGCAGGATAATGTCCTGCCTGGGAAAGAGCGGACCTGGCGCCCATTGCGCAGGCGCGTCCAGTGTTACGCTTCCGGAGGGAGGGCCGAAGGGGCGTCACGTGTGGGGACAGTCCAGTGTCACGTGAGGCCCAGGTGGTGGTGGAGCTACGTCAAGAGAGTGAGAGGAAGGGGAAGCCGGAAGGGGCGCGAGGGAAGCTAAGGGGGGACACCCAAGTTTACTATTGCGGAACAAAAAGCAGGATAATGTCCTGCCTGGGAAAGAGCGGACCTGGCGCCCATTGCGCAGGCGCGTCCAGTGTTACGCTTCCGGAGGGAGGGCCGAAGGGGCGTCACGTGTGGGGACAGTCCAGTGTCACGTGAGGCCCAGGTGGTGGTGGAGCTACGTCAAGAGAGTGAGAGGAAGGGGAAGCCGGAAGGGGCGCGAGTGAAGCTAAGGGGGGAAAAGACAGGTCCCGAGGGGGCGTGGGCTGTGCGTGCGCCCGCGTCTCCCCACTGCTCTCCCTTCAGTCTCGCCGCCCTCTCTTGCGGCCAGGTGACAGAGCCCGGTGCGGGGCGCTCTGCCTGCGGCGCGAGAAGAACGCGCCCTGCCCTCGCGCGGTGCACCCGCTGCCCCTCCCCCTCATCCCGTCCGTCCCGTCGCTTCTCGTTCCGTCTTCTCCCCTCGGGTGCCGCCGGCGTGGTGCTTGTGCGAGTCGGCGGCGGCAGGGACATTTTCTGCCTCCCCAGCCCCTGTCCCGGCTGCCCTCCCCCCCCCGTCGCGGGGCCGGCCGCTACTCCGGCCCCAGGATGCAGAATGTGATTAACACGGTGAAGGGAAAGGCACTGGAAGTGGCTGAATACCTGACCCCAGTCCTCAAGGTAAGCCGGGCCGGGCTTGCCCGGGGCTCAGGCACACGTTCAACTCTGCCGGGACCGGGCGCCGGAGGGTTAGGAAGGTGGTGAGGGTGGGACACGGGAAGGGTGCAGCCGACACCCATGGGCTTACCCGGCCGTTCTCTAGGGCTTTCTGGCTCCTCAGGGGTAAGTGAGAGCGACGCTCAGTGCCTGCTCGCGTCTTCCTCCGTCATAACTGCGCGTCTGGGTACGTCGGGCTGGAAGGTGGTCGGCAGCTAAGTAGATTTAAGAACGTTAACTCCTAACATCCGAAGTCGTTTAAACTTATTAAACGAGGATTTTGCTTATCTTTTTAAAAAATGAAATCGGTGTTTGGTACTAAAATCACAGGTCACTGTTTTCATTCAAGTTTCGTAAAAAGTCTCTTGTACTTAAAAGTATGAAGTAGGTTAAGTTGTGACTGAGATCCCAACTCGTTTATATTTTAGAGGAATGAGGTGAAATACCGGGCTATTAATCTTGGGCTTAAGTGACAATAAGGAGCAGCTTGGACCTCCTAGATATATAATCTTTTATATATTGCCAATAGTACAGTATTTTTAAGGTTAAAAATTGTGACACATTGGCTAATAACAGCAGTGACTGATTTTCTTATTGTTAAAGATAAATTTCTATAAGTGCATTCAAGTTTTTCTTTTGTTACTTTTTAGAGTAAGTTTTTTGTTGTGATTTTATTTTTGCTTTCTGAAGAGTGAGCAATGATAGTACAGTAAATGAATGGCAAGTTCTTGTTTAGTGGTTTTTTTGGTTTTGTTTTTAGCCTTCAATTAAAAATTTACGAGTCCTGGTATGGGGATGAAATATTCTGGTATGCTAAGGGGAATAGTTGACAGTTTTACTTTGCTCCCTTTCTATGACAAAGGGAAGTGAAATGTTAGGTCTATACCTTTTTTATACTTATTTCTAATATTGATTTTAAACAATACCTTGCTGGGCCAAGTAAATAAAAGAACCAGGAATGAGAATTTCAACTCTTCTTTGCTTATATTTTACTACGAAAATCATCTTAATTAAGAATATTCAGTCAACCATTTCAAAACGAAAATAATTTTGACATTTAAATCAAATGCTTCTTTTGCATATTTATTATGTTACCTTTTCAGAATAGCATATCTACATAGGTATACGGCATTTTAATAATACACAGTTGTTCTTAGTTGAACTCCTTAGTTTCAGGGAGAGAGGAACAAAAGACCTCCCAAATTAAATACGAAATGGCTATAGTATAAGTCGGTTGCATTTTCTTGAACTACGGTATAGAATTGTTTTGAGGAATCATTTTACCTTTTCACCAAACAATATGAGTATGTATGGTGTATATTTTTAATAATAAAGCAGAATTAATGACTCTGTCCTTGTCACTTCCTGTGCAAACTTGGTTTGCAGAGAGAATCCTAACAGATTTCTGCTAGTTGAATGAAGACAAGGAGAAAAAACAAAATCTCCAGAAAAGAAATAACGGCCTTCTCCCAGCAAGTAAAAATTAAAAGCAGTCATATTTTGTTCAGAAGACATACATGAAGTAAAAGCCAAAATCCTTACAATGATCTTCAAGGCTCTACTTGATTGGTAGAGGTCTCAATCTCATGTACTATTCTATCCCATGATCACTCTTGCTTAAGCCAACCTGACCTCTTTATTACTCCATCAAGCATACTCTTGCCTCCTGGACTTTGCATTTATTCTTCCCTCTGCCTGAAATGCTTTTCCCCTAGACAGCCTCATGGCTTGTTCCTTTTCTTAATGTGTTCAAGTCACCTTATCGTTAAAGTCTTTATTCTCTCACCATTCTGTTTTAAATATGGCCATCTCTACTCCTCCACCCTGCAGTTTCCTTTGGTTCATTTTTCTTCGTGGTATGGTATTCATTACTATTTGGCTTTTCTCTCTCCCCTAGAGTTTAAACTCCTTATGAGTGCAAGGATGAGTTTGGTGTATTTTATTCACATCTGTATCCTCATTGCCTCAAGTAGTGCCTGGCAAATAATAATAAATATTTGTTGAATGAATAATACTTATAAATCTTTTCAGTTTTGTAGACTCTACCACAAAATCTTACGTATAACTTAAAATTTAGGAAAAGTTTAGTCAATAGCACCCTTACTTTAGAGAAAATATCGTATCAGTACCTTGGTGAAATTGAGAATAATGAAAAAATATTAAATGATTTCTAGATTTGGTTTCTCATATTACTCAGTTTAAATAAGACAGTGGCTGAATTGTAAGATGTCTAAACGTCTTTAAGACATTTTTACTGTGTTGTAAAATAAAGATATTTGATCATTTCACCAAATCACTAAGGCTTTGTGGTTGTTTACACCTTTAAATGTTTTTCCAAATAGATTTGCTCTATTAAAGCACTGATCAAATTGTATTTTAATTATTTTCGGGTCAGTTTCCTACATTAGACTTGTATATTCCTTGTGGTCAGGTATCAGAGACAGATATATTACCTAGAAGGGTGCCAGCTAACTAGTTGCCCCCCAAATATATTTTAACTGAAAGTGAAAGATGTTATAATACTGTTATTCTTCTGGCTTTCTTTAGGAATCAAAATTTAAGGAAACGGGTGTTATCACCCCAGAAGAGGTGAGTGTTGAAGATATTCTGAAGCCTGTATACTTTATAATTACATAAATTGGGTGGCTTTTCTGCTTTATAAAAAAACTTAATTTTGATTTGAGTAAAATTAGATTTTGTTGACTATATTAGTGATTTATAGGGATTTCTACTTCCCATAGAAGATGTTAAGTTCCCTCTCAGTTTGCTACTTCTCATATTTCTCTGTACTTCCTCTTTATTTAGAGATGAGGGTGGGGAAGGGAATGGAAAAGATTCCTGTGATCACTTATCTTTCACTCATGTTTGTGTTTATTGAGCTGTGCAGTGGGCTCTGTAGCATTTTCTGTGTTTCAGCACTGTCATACCAATTGTGAGTTTTCATGGCTTTCCATTTAGAAATTTCTGTCACTGCTTGGATATTAATAATCTCCTTAAATATTTTATTGCCACATGCTTGATACTGATTTTTTTTTTCACCATTCTTTCACTTTTTCTACTAACAAGTAATTTTGAAATTGCTTAATGCTGGAACAGCTATTTTATAGACCAGTTTTGTTTTATTGAACTTTTAACATAGAATTATGTTTTGAGGAATCATTTTACTTGTTCATCAAATCTGTATAAGAAAAGAGTTCTCTTTCATTTAGGTAGGGTTTTTTTAGTTATCCTTAGAGAAAAACTGAGCCAAAAACCTTTCAGACTACATTTTCTGAATAGTTAGGGTTGTGTCAAACTTATTTTGTTCTTAATAAAAGACAAAGAATTTATTTAAGCTTGATCTTTAACTCTCACTGAAAACAACCCTTATTGTTAATAGAACTTATTCATTGTTTTGAAAGAAACATTTTGAAATTAGCCATGTTTTATTTTTATTTTTTGTCTTTTGTCTTTTTCCGTGTCTGGCAACGGATCGCAACCCTCAGTGTTGCCCCCGTACCGGACCGGGGACCGGCAACGGGACCGCAACCCTCGGCGTTGCTCCCGCACCTCGCTCAGCCAGTGAGCGGGAACCGGTCTGTATGTGGGATCCGAACCCTCGGGCGGGAGCGCCACCATGCTTCCCAAGCGGCGCACTTATCCAGTGCGCCACCGGGCCGGCCCCAAAATTAGCCATGTTTTATGATGAGGCTGCTGCTGTAATTTCCAAGACCTCAAGCCAGAGAATTAACTGATCTTTCAGTTTTCAATTGTGGAGTCTCTCTAATCCCAGTGTGTTGTGAATTCTAAGAATGGTGTGCTAAATTGATCTTTTATCTAAATTTGTCTTTATTTTTAGTGAAGACATATGGTGGGGTGGAAAGAACCTAGGAGACCAGCTTTCTAGATCCATTTCTGTAATTTCTTATAACTTTGACAAATTGGTTAAGCTAACTAGACCCAGGTCTCATGTTTCTTCATTTATAAAATGAGAAATTTGGACGAGACATCCTCTAAAGGAGGTGTTGTTCTTCCTTAGGCTTCATGAGTTTAATACCTTGAATGCCCAATAAAGCTAAGTTTTGATCTTAAGGATATCATTATCGTTCTTGCCAAATAAAGGTGTAATTTAGACATGGCTCTTTAAGTATCTGAACTCAAGAGCAGAGATGAAAATTTGCTGTTCTTTTTGTACTCTTTGGCTTTATCTCTTCTGTGCGAAGATGACTTACACAGATAGTTGGAGTTAGCGATGCAGGTCTGTGGTGTTAGATAGAATTAAGCTGTTTTAAAACAGGAATTTATGTAGAATGAATAATGATTACACTTTAATTGCATCATGAAACAATTTATGAATTTTCCCCCTTTTAAAAAAAGCCCAGGCAAAACTAGCCCAGCTGGGTACCAAGCCCATACTACTAGGTTGGGATAGAGCACAGTTACAGAATTGAGTTAAACTGGAAAAAGGCTGGAGGAAGAAAATAAGAGGGCATCATTTGCTTTGGGTAAAATATGATATTCTTAGTTGATTTGTTCATTTATTTCCTCTCTCTGTATCTGGGCTTCTGCCTGTCAGCCTCCAGCTATCTTTTTGTTTTCGTTGAGAGGTGCGGAAGTATTGTATTTAAAAAGAGGGGTGGCCAGTATCTAATAGTATTGTCTGGAAAAAAATTTGTTGTTAGATGTGTGTATGACTTGATTAAGTACAGTACTATTAATAGAGGATAGCTTGACAAATAAAGTTGCTCATCAAAATACGAATATTGATTCTATCCTGTTGGAATTCCGCATTATTTATTGACGATAAATCCCACAGGAGAATGTTTAATTACTAAGAGAAAGCTACTGCAATCAATATTGATAATTTGGAAATTTAAGTCTACATCTTACATTTTATTTCATTTGAACATATGAAGCAAACAATAACGGCCATTGTTAATGAGGGCGAATGTACACACTTACTAATTAAAGTGTACACATGTACTAATTATCAGTAAAATTCTGCATTTTTAAAGAATAGTTTTTATTACCTTCTAGTGTTTTTGTTATTTTTAAAATAGATACTGCCAGAAAGACCAGGGGATAAAATATTAGAGTCTTATCTCAAGGCAATGTAATTAAAGAATTTTTAATTTTTAATCCTTTGTTTTGCTTGCATTATGTTAAATTATTACTTTGGTAGTGATAAACTAGTTCCAGATAACAACAGAGCTAAATGGAGAATCTGGTTGCAATGACTCCAAAATGCTTAAACTTGGGGGAAAGACATTTTTTCCACTTCAGTGCTTATCTTTACTTAACCAGTTTAAATAATAAAAAGACTACTTGAAATAAAAGTATATAAATATTTATAAAGTTACTATATCTCATCTTTTAATCATCATCTTAAAAGAGGTTATTCTTATAATTCTTATATGATAGAATTTTACTCTCAATTTAATAGTATTTTATGTAGACCATACTTTCTCAGAAAGGCATTAGAAAGAAGATTAAATATATTGTAATTTTTTGCTATGTAATAAACCCATGAACAATATACGATTTTAAGTTAGAGCTGTTGTGAAATAGAAGTAATTGAGAAATATGTGCTCATGTTGCTTGAATTGGGACACTGCAGTTATGCTTAACAGACTTTCATTTTCTGCTCTCGAGAATAATCAGGATTTCTATCTCAGTAAGATCAGCTCATGTTTGCGTAAACTGGAAATTTTCAAAAGGTTAAACTGTTTCTTTCTGAGCCTGATTTTTATTTCTGAAGAAAAATAAAAACTTATACAGTGTTCAGTCTTCCCAGAAAGTCCAAGGTTTGTTAGTGGATTTCATTTCTTAATTTTATAGGTGTTTTCAGAGTCGATCCAAAAGCTTCTAACTTTTTCCCCATTATTGGACACTATATTTCTCTCTCATTAATGATTACTTTAAGAGTATGAAAAAGTTTTCAAAATTGGCAAATACTTATTTTTTA